GTGAGCGGGCGTGCATCTGGACTCACTGTGTGCTTGTTTGTTCACTTTGTCATTATGTTTTTCTTAGCATGTTTTGATTGTGTTAATCTAGTGGCGGTGACCTTCATTAGCAAGATTGCCATGCGTCTATGTGATAAACACGGCCTCGTATGTTTGTGTTTCTGCTAACTAGTCTAAGGTGAGTAATTTCAAGTTCTGAGTGTGAAGCCAATCTATTTAGACTTTCCTCTTCTTTTCCCCTCCTATTATTTTTATATTTTTGCGTTGTGTTCATTTTTGTAGTAATGCGCGTTATTATTATTACAACAGACCAAGTGGGAGAGTAAGCACAAGTTTTATTAGTTCGTGTATTTTTCACGACTTTTTCTTGTTGCATGCAATAAGCCTAGACCAGTTTTCTTATGTAAGATACGGTGAGGCGTTTTATCTATTCCAGCTGGGTTTGTAGTCGAGGATGAGGAGGACCTTAAGTGATGGAAATAATTATAAATAATTTTAACTGTCATGTCCATGAAGATTCTCAAGTTAGCGTGTGATGAGGTGCAGTATGCAAGTCTTTTTTTCCACTCGCACAGCGGATTATGTGATATTAAATATTACCACTTGGAGGAAATAAACAGTGATGATCTTCTGTACCTAAAATAATGAAAAAATCTAAAACGAGAGAACATTAGTTTTAAACTGACGAATTGTAATGTGTTAGTAAACAAGAGTTGTAAAGCGAGAATAAATTACCTGAATGATAGGACTCTTCAATATAAGTCTGAGTAATGTACAATATTATATACATCGTTAACTTGATAGTAGAAATCTTAAGTTACTCGTAATATACTCGACAAGTGTGTGGCATCATCACCACGTGAGAATGCTTGCTGGGAGCATCAACAACCTCGCTGATTAGTATATTGCTGATGGTATACAATACCGATAAGCTGATGAATAAGACACATGTGTAACACTTGGGTATCTTCATTGCCGAAAAGTTTCGCCTGCGAATCAAGCTTCTTCAGTCGAATACAGGTGCATGTAACAGTTATATTTGGCTGTATTCCACTGAAGAAGCCTGCTACACAGGCGCAACGTTTTGGCAATAAAGATAGCCAAGTGTTGCACCTGTGTTTTATTCCTCGCTGACCAGGCCGTCAACGGGAAAGCCACGGACCTAGCTGCTAGGATTCCTCCCTGACCAGGCCGTCAATGGGAAGAAATCAGACCTAGCTACTAGGATTCCCCACTGACCTGGCCGTTAACGGGAAGGCCACGGACCTAGCTACTATGATTCCCCATTGACTAGGCCGTCAACGGGAAGGCCACGGACCTTCCTGGATACCTGGAGGTTATTCCGGGGATCAACGCCCTCGCGGCTCGGTCCATGACCAGGCCTCCCGATGGATCAGGGCCTGATCAACTAGGCTGTTACTGCTGGCCGCACGCAGTCCAACGTACGAGCCACAGCCCGGCTGATCCGGCACTGACTTTAGGTATCTGTCCAGCTCTCTCTTGAAGGCAGCCAGGGGTTTATTGGCAATTCCCCTAATGCTTGATGGGAGGCTGTTGAACAGTCTTGGGCCCCGGACACTTATGGTGTTTTCCCTTAGTGTACCAATGGCGCCCCTACTTTTTATTGGGGGCATTTTGCATCGCCTGCCCAGTCTTTTACTTTCGTAGGGAGTGATTTCTGTGTGCAGATTTGAGACCATTCCTTCCAAGATTTTCCAAGTGTACATTATGATATATCTCTCCCTCCTGCGTTCAAACGAGTGCAAGTCAAGTGCTTCCAAGCGTTCCCAGTAGTTAAGGTGCTTGACAGAAGTTATACGTGCAGTAAAGGATCTCTGTACACTCTCTAGATCTGCGATTTCACCTGCTTTGAATGGAGATGCTAATGTACAGCAGTATTCCAGCCTAGAGAGAACAAGTTATTTGAAAAGGATCATCATTGGCTTGGCATCTCTCGTTTTGAACGTTCTCATTATCCATCCTATCATTTTCTTTGCACGTGCGATCGTGGCACTGTTGTGATCCTTGAAAGTGAGATCCTCAGACATTACTACTCCCAGGTCCCTTACATTATTTTTCCGCTCTATTGTATAGCCAGAGTCTGTAGTATACTCTGTTCTAGTTATTATCTCCTCCAGTTTTCCATAACGGAGTAGTTGGAATTTGTCCTCATTGAACATCATATTGTTTACCGTTGCCCACTGGAAAACTTTGTTTATATCTTCTTGGAAGTTAACCGCGTCCTCAGCAGATGACAGCCTCATGCAGATCCTAGTATCATCCTCAAAGGATGATACGGTGCTGTGATGTATATCTCTGTCTATGTCTGGTATGAGGATGAGGAATAAGATGGGGGCGCGTACTGTGCCTTGTGGAACAGAGCTCTTCACTATGGCAGCCTCCGATTTAACTCTGTTGACCACTACTCTTTGTGTTCGATTTGTTAGGAAGTTGAAGATCCATCTCCCCACTTTCCCAGTTATTCCTTTAGCACGTATTTTATGGGCTATTACGCCATGATCGCATTTGTCAAATGCTTTTGCAAAGTCTGTGTATATTACATCTGCATTCTGATTTTCTTTCAGTGCATCCAAGGCCATATCATAGTGATCCAGTAGTTGTGAGAGGCAGGAGCGACCTGCCCTGAACCCATGTTGCCCTGGATTGTGCAGATTTTGGGAATCCAGGTGATTTGCAATCCTGCTTCTTTGCACTCTTTCAAAGATTTTTATGATGTGGGACGTCAGAGCTATTGGTTTATAGTTCTTAGCTAATGCTTTGCTGCCACCTTTATGGAGTGGGGCTATATCCGTCGTTTTAAGTGACTGTGGAATTTCACCCATGTCCAAGCTCCTCCATAGTGTACTTAAGGCACGCTAGAGGGGTTTCTTGCAGTTCTTAATGAAAACAGAGTTCCACGAGTCTGGGCCCGGGGCTGAGTGCATGGGCATGTTGTCAATGGCTTTTTCGAAATCTATCGGAGTTAGGGTAATGTCGGAAATCTGGCATATATTTATGGAGCTTTGAGGCTCATTCATGAAGAAATCATTTGGGTCGTCGATCCTCAGACCGATTAGTGGTTCACTAAACACAGAGTCGTACTGGGATTTCAATATTTCACTCATTTCCTTGTTGTCATCTGTGTAAGTCCCATCCTGTCTGAGTAAGGGCCCGATACTAGATGTGGTATTTGCCTTGTTTTTGGCATATGAAAAGAAATATTTTGAATGTCTTTCAATTTCACTAATAGCTTTAAGCTCCTCCTGTCTCTCCTGGTTCCTGTAAGAGTCATTTAACTTAAATTCGATAGTTTCCACTTCCTTGGTCAGCACCTCCTTTCGTGTATCAGATATTCTAGCACTCCTGAGGAGCTCAGTGACCTTTCGTCGTCTTCTGTAGAGGGAGCGTCTCTCTCTCTCCAGTTTACTCCTGCTCTTCTTTCTTAGGGGAATATGCCTAGAACATGCTTCAGCTGCCAGGAAGTTGATCCTTTCAAGGCATTGGTTTGGATCCATGTCATTTAAGATATCTTCCCAACATGTTTCGTTTAGGACATGGTTTACCTGGTCCCAGTTGATGTTCTTGTTGTTGAAGTTGTATTTTGTGAAGACACCTTCACCTAGCTGCTAGGACTCCTCCCTGACCATACTGTCAGTGGGAAGGCCTCGAACCTAACTACTAGGGCGATGACCCTTGAAACCATCCATAAGTAAACTTCAGTAACGGTAGTATGGAATATGAAGGTGTGTCTGGGCGAGTTCCTTCAGGGTATCAGTGGAGAGGTTAGTGCACAAGCAAATATTAAAAATTACCTTACTTCCCTTCCAGTGTTGTGGTCTTTCTCTCCCTTTCTCTCTCTCTCTCTCTCTCTCTCTCTCTCTCTCTCTCTCTCTCTCTCTCTCTCTCTCTCTCTCTTTAAACACAGGGTTTGACAAGGTTAGGTTAAGGATCCCTAACTTTATTAACAATCTATTTACAACTTAAGGATTCCTAACTTTATTGACAAGCTAAGAGCTGTTACCTACATCAGCTCATTTGAAAGCATTTTTATTGTTATGAGACATACGAGTAAGGAACAGAATGAAGTTGGAGCCATCTGCGGGCTAGTATTTTCATTTGATCAACTGACTATCTTGTTGACATCATAATGCTATACGAATGTGTTCCATACTCGAGTCATCCTGGGGATAAATGATCTCAGATGAAGTGACGTTCTGGAGAAGGGTACAGCCAGAGTGAAGTTGCTGCTTTCTATACACAAATAACCCGCACATAAAAGAGAGAAGCTTACGACGACGTTTCGGTCCGACTTGGACCATTGACAAAGTCACACTGTGTGTGTGACTTTGTCAATGGTCCAAGTCGGACCGAAACGTCGTCGTAAGCTTCTCTCTTTTATGTGCGGGTTATTTGTGTATCGTTCCAGTCACGGTATTGTGCCTTTTTGTTATTTATTGCTGCTTTCTGCCCGTCTTGTGGTATAGAAGCTTGCTTCTCGCTCTCCTCGAAGTGGAGCCAAGTGTGGTACTTTGACAATGTTGGCCTTGTACATAACAGTAAGGCCACCCACATCCCTCCTGTGTTGAAATCAATCTCTCTCTCTCTCTCTCTCTCTCTCTCTCTCTCTCTCTCTCTCTCTCTCTCTCTCTCTCTCTCTCTCTCTCTCTCTCTCTCTCTCTCTCTCTCTCTCCAAGTACAGGTTTAAACACCGAGGCGACGCTTGATGGGCAAGAATGAAGGAAAACCAACGCTATATTCATTGCAAATTGTTTATAAATACACGTTTATTCAACAGTACAGTTTGCATTGAGCAGTAGCATTCTTGTGCTGCTGATGTCATTGTCATTATTATTATTATTATTATTATTATTATTATTATTATTATTATTATTATTATGAAAGCGATGAACGTGTATGGGTCATACAGTGTTCAGTTTTGTTATTAATACTCTTGGTGTTGTGGATGTGTCATTAATAAGTGCTATATTACTGTGTTACAGAGGCAGTGAGCTTCAATATGATTGGGTGCAAAGATCGCGGTCCGAGCAAGAACAACACGGCGTCTGCAGCCACGTCACCTTCCAAGCACGTGGGCAGGTCCTCATCCGTGCCCACTGAGCGCCCACCACTCACCCACCACCAACACCCATCTATCACCCAGCCTTCCCTAGACCACCAGAAGCTCTCCTCCAGCACCTCCTCCCTCAATGCTTCACCCGTGCACCTCGTAAAGTCAGCTTCCACCTCCACCCTCACTGCCTCCACCAACACCTGTAAATTGACCACCCGCAACCATGGGCGTACCAGGGTGGCCAGCAACGCTAAGGACTCATCGCTAGAGAACATCAAAGACGAATACTGCGAGAAAGGTAGGAAACATGTGGTTGTCATTGTTGTACAACTGTGCTCAAGGTTCAAGTTTATGGTAGAAGTTTTGTGGTTACCGTTGTGATACAGTTTATAGTTTCACCTTTGTAATGAACAACTTAATGTATTTACATACACACTGGGATGAATTTTCTTTATGTATTTTTATTCTATATATATATTAGTACTTTTTTAAACAAGAAGGGATACTCTGCGTTGTCATCAGATGTCTGGAGCTCATTTTTAAATATTGGAGTTATAGTGTTGGATACATGGCGATTAAAGTGGTTATAAAATATCGACACGATGGGAAAAAAAGATTTATAAATGTAGTATGATGTGATCCTTTATTGACTACGTTTCGGCTACGCAGTGGGATTTATCAAGTCACAAACCCCAGGAAACTTGAAACACTGCACCTCAGAACAAATGGATAAGTTTTTCCGAACTGGTCTTTAATTAACTGAGCTCTCTTACTACGTAATCAGAGATCATTGCTGTTTACCTGATGTCCCTCTCACCGTTCATGGTTTTTTTCACTTCTGACCTCAACACCAACTAAGACTTGACCATCATCCGTGAATCCCTTTATATAGCAAGAATAAGGCTTCAGTTGAACAACTCGATTATATCTGTACAGTTGTTCACATACCAATTAATATTTCACGCGTGAGTTATGAGTTATGTTAAAATTGGTTAGGTTATTGTAACATTGGTTAGTTGGTGTAGTTTATCTTTATTTAGTGGTGTATTATGTCTGTTATAAATAGAACATTAGCTCTCTTATACGAGTCATTTATTCTGCTTGGCAATTGTACAATTATCTCTTAGCTCTGATTATGGAGCTTATCACTCTGAAACATTTTGGAAAAATAATATGAAGATGTTTAACTCGGCTTTGGTATTTTTTTAATCATAAGTTTAAGATTCCCAAAATCAAATTCTGTTTCCCAAGATATACAAACATTATATATATATATATATATATATATATTATATATATATATATATATATATATATATATATATATATATATATATATATATGAGCGTGTTTTGGGATCGTAAGTTGTGGCAGTTAATTTAGTAATGACGTAAATTTGTGGGCCGAACATTACAACTGGAGGCCCGTGTTTATGCCGCCGCTCTCTCGCTCGTAATCCCTCCTAATTTTTGACAATTAATTTTAAGTGCTTCGAATATCATGGGACGCTCCCTGCGTGCATGCTGCCCGCTGTGTCGTCTTTACCATCGGTGCTCCCTGCGTGCGTGCTGCACGCTGTGTCGTCTCTACCAGCGGTGCTCCCTGCGTGCGTGCTGCACGGTGTGTCGTCTCTACCAGCGGTGCTCCTTGTGTGCGTGCTGTCCGTTGTGTCGTCTCTACCAGCGGTGCTCCCTGCGTGCGTGCTGCACGCTGTGTCGTCTCTACCAGCGGTGCTCCTTGTGTGCGTGCTGTCCGTTGTGTCGTCTCTACCAGCGGTGCTCCCTGCGTGCGTGCTGCACGCTGTGTCGTCTCTACCAGCGGTGCTCCCTGCGTGCGTGCTGCCCTCTGTGTCGTCTCTACCAGCGGTGCTCCTTGTGTGCGTGCTGTGCGTTGTGTCGTCTCTACCAGCGGTGCTCCCTGTGTGCGTGCTGTCCGTTGTGTCGTCTCTACCAAGTGGCTGAGCGAGAGTTCTTTTGTTAAGCAAAATTGATTAGCATCAACACTGTGCTGCGACCCTGGCTGACCTGTCAAATTCCATCACACAGAATGGGTTACTAATGCTTACGTGAGTTAGGTGAGTTGTTTATATGAGGTAACTAAATGTCATCCTGATCTGGGAGACTTCAATAGAGTGATGATGATATTGTCAAAGTATTAAACTATGAGCTCATTATCTACGGGAGCTTGAAAATCTTCCTTCCGGCTGGGCTGTAGTGCTTGAGGACGGAGGGAGGGAAGAAGAACGGAAAGGAAAAAGTGTGATGGCAGGGTGGGAGGAAAAAAAATTGAAGGTATTGCATAGCATTTTTTGAAGTGTTAATCCCATGTAGATCATTCAACACAAGGAGTGTTGGAGTCTTGCTCCTTTGTATGGTAATCGTGGCCCGGTCTCTGACCAGTCAGAATGGAGATGGAAAAGTGATGTGAGAAAAACTTAGGGTGAGAGAGAGAGAGTGAAACGATGTGAGAGGTTACCTGGAGGTTATTCCGGGGATCAACGCCCCCGCGGCCCGGTCCATGACCAGGCCTCCCGGTGGATCAGGGCCTGATCAACCAGGCTGTTACTGCTGGCCGCACGCAGTCCAACGTAGGAGCTACAGTCCGGCTGATCCGGCACCGACTTTAAATATCTGTCCAGCTCTCTCGTGAAGGCAGCCAGGGGTTTATTGGTAATTCCCCTAATGCTTGATGGGAGGCTGTTGAAGTCTTGGGCCCCGGACACTTATGGTGTTTTCTCTTAGTGTACCAATGGCGTCCCTACTTTTAATTGGAGTATTTTGCATTGCCTGCCCAGTTTTTTACTTTCGTAGGGAGTGATTTCTGTGTGCAGATTCGGGACCATTCCTTCCAGGATCTTCCAAGTGTAGATTATGATATATATCTCCCTCCTGCGTTCCATCGAGTACAAGTCAAGTGCTTCCAAGCGTTCCCAGTAGTTAAGGTGCTTGACAGAACTTATACGTGCAGTAAAGGATCTCTGTACACTCTCTAGATCTGCAGTTTCACCTGCTTTGAACGGAGATGTTAATGTACAGCAGTATTCCAGCCTAGAGAGAACAAGTTATTGGCTTGGCATCTCTCGTTTTGAACGCTCTCATTATCCATCCTATCATTTTCTTTGCACGTGTGATCGTGGCACTGTTGTGATCCTTGAAAGTGAGATCCTCAGACATTACTACTCCCAGGTCCCTTACATTATTTTTCCGCTCTATTGTATAGCCAGAGTCTGTAGTATACTCTGTTTTAGTTATCTCCTCATTGAACATCATATTGAGAGGCGAGAGTGAATTTATACAGACGAGGTTTGAAGAGAGATGGAATGAGGTATGTGGGTATGCCACAGGTAGCAGAAAAAACTCCTGTAACCGCCTTTGAAGGATTTCGAGAGTTTTGCTGCTCCCGCAGCCTTGCCCTGGGCAGCCTTGTTAGTAAAAGATCAGAGGGACGCCACAGGTAGCATTGTCCTCATCAAACTGTGATGCTTGTCAAAGAGTCATAGCCAGCGTGTAGTACATTTGGCGACGGCAGCGGTGATGGTGGCGGGGGTGGTGATGGCGGCAGCGTTGATAGTGGCGGCAGCGGTGATGACGGGGGCGGTAGTGGCGGGAGCGGTGATTTCTGGGGCGGCGGCGGCGGCGGCGGGTGTGGGACCAGCAACAACACAAGTGGCTGAGACACACCAAAAGTGTCCTTTATGGTGGGCTGGGCCAGATTATAAACCTGAACTATACGATCCTAGCCGGCCACGCTCTCTAATTTTTACGACTCGTCGACCCTCGCATTAAACCCAATGGCGGCCCACACAGCTACCCCTGCCACCTCCTGATTTACTCTATACCTACTCCCGCATACGCCCAAACACGCCCGCCTACACCCTCACAAGCCTACCCACACTTGCTTACGCCCACCCACACCCGTACACGCCTACACATGTTTACCCACGCTACTCGTGGGTGGTTGTGGAGTGGCAGTTTTGAGGTGTGGGATCTGATATTATTGATTTCACCAGGTATAATCACCTGACACGCGTCCAAGACGACTGGATGAGTGATGCCGTTGACTCTGTGACTAGCCCTTGTTGGTTGAACTTAGTAATTCAAGAGTGGTGTGAGCCCAGAACAACATTCTCACACAGTTGATCTATTGGAAGTGTAATAAATTAACTTTAAGTCTATATGGTGGAGCCGACAAAACTGAAAAATATTCTTGACCTTATTTTCTCGAATAACGACGATCTAGTACGAAATATGAGGAACTAAAGACAGTACATTGAAGATTACAGTCTAACTGAAGTTCAAACCTGTATGCATAGGGGTCCTGATCAGCAAAATTCAATTTTAAAAACAAGAACATCAACTGGGATTAAATAACTCGTGTCCTTAACGGAACATGGTGGGAAGTTATTTTGAATAACATGGATCTGAGCCAATGTCTAGAAAGAATTACCACTGCGGGACTAGTTTTGAACTCAAGTTAAACGAATCATACAGAATCCAAGAGACAGGGAGCTAAACACAAAGAAATTGAGATAAATACAAAATGCTTTTTCTCATATGCCAAATCCAGGTAAATCCACATCCACTACTGGGCCATTGCTCAAACAAGATGAAGCTTACACTGATAACAGCAAAGAAATGAGTGCGAGCCGTTAAGCTGACTAAAGGGCGACAGTCTGGACGAATTCTTCATTTATCGCCAAAATTTTTGACATAACCTTAATCCCACCTCACTTTAAAAAAGTCATTGATAACATGCCCATGCACTCTTCCCCAGACCCATACTTGTGGAACTCTGTAAGAAACCCCTGCCATTTGGGCAAGGAGGGTCACCCAACGGTCGTTAAAAACAACGGATATACAAGGGGAAATAACAATAGACACCTAAATGTCTTCAAGAGGAAACTGGATGGTTCCTACAGTCAGTTCCAGATTAGTCGGCCTGTGGTTCGTTCTTTGGATGGCGTACCGTCAGCAGTAATAGACTGATTGATGAGGCCCTGTTCCACCGGGAGGCCTGGTCATGGACCGGGCCGCGGGGGCGCTGACCATCGGAACATTCTTCAGGTCGACTCCAGGTAGCAGGTAACCGTGCTGATAATGTGAATTGCATCATATTCATTCATCGCTAGTCACTCATTTTCATAAGAAAAGATTTTCCATTGTTTCCTCTCTGTTAGCCTACATCATTTTGTCTCTTCTGCACTCCGTTCTCTCTCTCGCTTATTCCTATTTTACATTCTACTTGCTCCTCTATGTGACTCACCCAGCTTCCTCTGTGCTCTACTCTCTTATTCCTCTT